CCAAAATCTGCTGACTGGCTTCAAATGCCAGAGCGAGAGTGTGTCCCTAAAACCCTAGATGTACATGTACATGTCTTGGTAAGCTTAATACTTTCAGATAGAATGATCAGATAGCAACTGTCATTTTTTTTATAGCAAATAAGCATCATACCTAAAGGAAGCATAGAGACTCGTCACACTGTTCACTATCTGTTAAATAATGCTAGACATGACAACAATCTCACAGTTGCATAACGTTCACATTTATTTGGTTTCAAGTCCTAACAATTTCTAAACATGCGTTTAACACATATGGATCACATTTGTCACAGGTAGTTAAAGTAAGAAAAGCAGAGGAGAGAGGTTTTTCAAAAGATTTAAAGGGATACTTTGGGATTTTGGAAATGAAGCCCTTTATCTACTTCCCCAGTCAGATTAACTTGTGGATACCATGTTTATGTCTCTGTGTGCAATTTGAAGGAAGTTGCTAACTAGCGTTAGCGCAATTTCTAACTAGCATTAGCGCAATGACTGGACGTCTATGGTAACAGCTAGCATGCTAGTTGTTGACATTGACTTCCATTCATTGCGCTAATGCTACTTAGCATTGGCTCGTTAAACTACCTCTAACTTCCTTCATACTGGATGCAGAGACATAAAAATGGTATCCATGAGTTCATCTGACTCTGGGGATCCCTTAAAGTATCCCTTTAACGAAGAAAAAAAACATGGCAGATAAAAATGTAATGTATTTAATCTGCATATCCAGTTGTGCAGATTCAATGGAAATACTTTAAGACGTTGTTCCCTGAGATATGATATGATTTTATCTACTCTAGTTGCCCCATTGTGGGCTCCTTAATAAGGAGCTTCCATGAATGAATTGTAATAACACTGAATAAGCTTGTAATAACACTGTTATAACAGAAAACCATTCACCATTCATTGTTGAGATGAGTGAGGAAAAGCATGTTAACAACAGGATATGGCAGAAGGGCCAAAGTTACATTCTAATTAATAATCACTCACAAGCAGCATTTTAAATATCAAACATGATACTGCTCATTTAACCCTTTTAACTCTTTACACTTCGCATTTACATTGTTTGGTACACACCATCTTGAAAACTATATAAATATAGTGAATGAACACAATACATTGATTGGAATATCATACTGGGTTATATGATGCTATATAAAGTGATCAAAGAAACACTGATTCACCAGTAAAATGGGAAGTATTGATAAAACGACCACAGAAAAGTGAACAAATGGTAACCGCCTAAGGCATGTGAATACATACAGTATGTCGAGATTCCCATATAAATTATTTGATATGGTAATCAGGTGTGGTAATGATTGGTAATGTATGGTCATGATGTGCTAGTAGCTAAGTCATCAGTTTCATCTGTTTTCATTGATCACTTTGTGTGATGTTATAAACTACATGATCGATCACAGAAAGAAGTGGTCAGAGTAAATGTAAACTGGCAAGGTGGTCAAACTGACTCCCACCCACTGAGGGTGAGGCTAGTTTGTCCTGAGGTAGCACGGAAAAACATATGAGGAAACATTTACATGCAAAATAGGTAACAGTGAGAGGTAACTGGATGAAATAAGAGACACAAAATAACATAACATTGGTGCAATGAAACCAATAAATAAGATATTTTTTTAAACATTACCTGTGTGAAGGTAAGCAACGTGATGACACAAAAAAAGAGGTAGTATCAGTATAGAAATTGCAAATTACATATCCATTATCTGTAAAAACATTCCAGAAAATAATAAGAATGATAATGAGTTTGTATTACAAGTATTTCAAACATGACAGGTGTTGGCAGCAAGGCAGCAATGTGACGTTTGATTTGAAAAGAGACCGCAAGGAAGAATCTGCCACTTAGGGTCCCTATATTCATGTATGATGGCCAGAGTGACACTGTATGGCAGCAGCAACACTGGGCTAGGGTCTCAAACACATGTCCCCTAAGAAGTTCTGATCCCTGAGTTTAAGAGTGCCATATGCACTGAGCCCCCCAGACCAGTGGCTGGCTGCTCCCCACCATGACTACTGGCACACCTCAATGTTCTCTGCTTTATTCACAGATGGTCAACTGAAAGAGAAGTAGGAAGCCACAGTGTGTGACTACCTTCTAATATCTGAGTTGAAAACTCCACACCTCAGACCCAAAGGACACTGGGGAATACAGTAAAGGCTTTGCATGTGAAGGATCATGCATAAATATGCATAATATTTACCGGTTTCACAGGTGCCTGTCTTCTGCTGAGTTAATTCACTGTCTGCAGATATCATTTTATTCATCAAATCTGTAACATGTTTTTGGTAATAGTAAAAGTGATCAATCCATAAACATTTTTGAATTGTAATATCACTACCATAAACACTATATTATTTTGGAACTCAAGTTACAGCAGAGACAAGGGAATGAGTTGATAGAATCACATCCAACATCCATCAGAAAGAATTGTAATGTAAATGTAAACAAACACGGTATAGCCTCAAAACATTGTTAAAACTATAATTTATATAATGGATGGCCAGTCCTTGCATCCATAGCTCTGTCTATGCATTTGAGAGTGGTTACATTTCTCCCATCCCTCAGCCTTTTACCAAAACTAAGGCGGGGTGACGCTTTGTTATTGTTTTAATTAAGGATTCTAGCTTTAACAATAACATTGAAAATGTATAAAAACAAAACATGGAAAGGTGGCTACTTGAAAACTACTGAAACAAAGAACACTCCATTGGTGAAAGTATTCAAAGGGTGGTTCAGGGCATGAGATAGTACAGTGCTAAAGGAACATTCCACCCAGAGATGCATCATAAGGGGATAATTTCTGTATTTTGAAAGTTACATATCTTGAAAACTTGATTGCTGACAAGCAACACATTTTGTCACTATGTCAACAACGGACAAATGAAACAAATACCAAAAGATAGTTTTTGGGTGGAGTTTTCCTTTGAGGCTAAGGTAGTACAGTGTTAAGGCTGAGATAGACAGACCAGGCTAGACCTACAGTAGACCTGATAGTTGAGGTTATTTTGAGTATGCTCAGTTTGGAAAAGGGACATCTCTGGCATTTCTTCCCTGTCTCAGACCACCTTCAGCCAAATCAGCTCAACACTGAACTGGGAGCAATGGTTCACCAGTTGTTTTAAATCTGTTCTGCAAGTCTTATAACATGCCCTTAAAACCAACACATTCACTTTCATGAAACAGAAAAATATTTGAAAAAGAAAACACTTTCTAAAAGGACCTACAATGTCCAGAATCCTACGACTACAAATCCTACAAGTCCATCAGCATAGTGATCACTGAGTAACTCCTGAATGCAATACATAATACTCACTTTACCCTGTTTAAATACAGGTCCAAAAGGACCTGAGAGAGAGGAGCATGCAGGGTGGGCACTTTGCCAAGGTTATGGTCAAAGAATGTCTCCTGCCTTACCACAGCACGCATAAAAGAGAGTCGTTTTAAGGGCTGCATTGCCCCAAATTATTTTGAAACAATGGTTGCTGTGAAACAGCTAAAACTTGAATGATCAAAAAAGACACTTCAAGTGGTTGAAATGATCATTTCATACTTAGAAAATAAAGAACCTTTTTCTCTGTATGTTTTTTTTAAAACAATGTGCATATCTGTCTCAGATGATGTGCAAGCTGGAAGTAACCTCTAGTCTGTCCAGATTAATGGACAAGCCCCTAATGTCTCCTCTATCTCTACTCTTTTACAGCCAAAAATTTGTCACCTGAGCATTCTGAACCCAACACCGTCTAAAGATGTAGTAGTAAAAATGAGCAGGCCAGCATTTCCTTCTAGCCTAACTGTGCGGACTGGACCACCAACCCAATGAGCATGTGCAGAGGCTAAGGATTGGGCAAGGGAGTACCAGTGGAGGGCTAAAAGTTGTATGTCTGGAGCAATAGATGGGTGCTACATGGACTAGGAGGGAAGACAGTGGGGCTTTTGTCTGTGGTGTTTCAGCGTTAGGGGTTAGGATGGGAACCAGCTATACTGTGTCTGTCTGTCAGCAGAAGGTCTCCCCTCTGGCTCCGATGCAGATTGATTCATTTCTTATTCTGGTCCTTCATTGATAAGAAATCATTACATTGAGCTATCGGCTCATCACACATCTATGGGTGCTGCTTGAAAAAGCTTTGCATAACACTTTGGTCAACAACAAAAAAATCAATACAGCTAATAACAAACTTCCCCTGCAATTCAATTTGTTCTGCAGTCTATGATTGTAGAAAATACCCGTATGCTCGATTTCTACGAAGATCCCACAATCCCACTAAATGTCACCTCACTGAAAGTCTAGGAATGTTCAAACTGACCAGCCCATCCCTTACAGGATGTCTGTCTGTGGGTTCTGTAAGAGAGAGTGTGTGTAACACAGTATAGAAACATACTACAAGAATTGGGACAATACACCAGTACTGAACATTCATTTGCTGATTGCAGGGGTGAATGCTTTTCTATCTTTGGTTCAAAATACAGCAATGCGTTTGGTCAATTTCATGGTAAAGGCCTACTTACCAATCTATGATTCAGGAGTTTAAAGCATTTACAGGGATTTGATTCAGACTGGGCAACTCTTCATTTCAAAACAGTGAGAAAAATGTACCTGAAAATAGCAACAACATCTTCCTGAGGTAGTCTCAAAACACTACTAATTTATACCCGCCCCCATCCAAATAAAATAAACCTTTCAAATCTAGTTCTAACAATGGCAACACCGACACATTGAGCAATCGGATACACACTTGTAAACTCCAAAGACCAATGCATCTATGTGCATTTAGTTTGTACAGAAGCATGTGCACAGTGTAAATCAGCATACATTCAGCTCTGTCGTGTAATAAATATATAGAGAAAAAAAAGTTTTTAAAAACTAGCTGCTTGTCACATTCACAGGAAGGAGGACCAGTCCCTTGCCCTGTCCCCCAGGCCAGCTCTGAGTAAAGGGGCGGTCCTAGAGCCAGGAGGGCGGGGCTCAGTTCCCAGGGGAGGTACCCGTAGAAGTCAGACAGGGGGAACTTCCTGTCCTGTAGCTGATTAGGCTGGATTTGCAGGAGTGCAAGACTGCTTTGAACAAGAGGGGGAGCTGTTCCAGGGGAACATTCACCAGCTTGCCTGGAAAGAAACATGTTTCACAGGGCGTGAGTACAGAACAATTATCCTATCGCCTACTTTGTTATGGACCTTTACATTAGCATTTCATAATACACCGCCCGCCATGCCAATCCCTGATGTAATAGATGCCCCAACTTACCTGCCATGAAGCGGATCTCTGGCAGACACATCATGATCTCAGGGAAGCGTTTGGGCTGGTGAGGGTACTTGTACTCAGTGTAGTCCTGACACACGTACCAGTAACGCTTGTTCAGCTGCTCCAACTGGGAGATGTTAGTCAGACCACGGATATCTGCCCAACAGACAGGAACACATTGAGGAGAGGACATTAGCTACTGTTCATGTATGTGTGATGTTTGTATCCTTTTTATTCAATAAAGCATCTGAGCAGCAGAGCCGTTTTGAAAATTCCTGTTGGAACAGTGCTGTGTCTGACTGTGTGCGTGTGTGTGTTACCTTGGTTCAGGAAGTTGATGGCTTTCATGCAGGCATACTCCTCGTTGCTGACCTTCAACTGGTGGAACTTGCGGAACAGATAGATCAACCTCTCCATCACCTCCATGCCATTCTCACTGAACCTGGGGGGGACGTATACAAAAACATGGTGAGATTGTGAAATGTGATACGCACGCACGCACACACACTCACAAACAACCCACAAAATCAACAAGACTACCAGCTCTCGTACACACAGCTACAGAAGTGGAAAATCACAAAGAAATAAAAAGTGAAGGGAGAGTAGATTCATGATAATGTGAGAGTTGATTAAATCATGACCATACTAAGAAGATGAGCAAAAGGGGGAAGAAGTGGATTATGCCTGATCCACTACAAGTGATTAAGGACATTAATCTCTCTGACTAAACATTTCCTTTAGCTTTAAGGATGGAGCATGTACTTAAACATGTCAAACTGAATAACTGAACTCATCAATCTCTATACCCGTCTCTACAGCTCCTCTTAAATCTTGATCTCTTTAACTATATCTTTAGTAAATGTGCCTACACACCGTTTAGCACTGCCTTAGTAAATCAGACACCTTCTCCTTGTATGTGCAAACTGCAGGCAAATGGGCCATTGCAACACAACCCAGTCGTAAATCCAATAGAAAATTAGGAACAAGTGTGCCAAAAGGTCAGATAATTCTGGTCTGATTTACACACAACTAAGCCCTCACAGTATTATGGCCAATCTGGGACAGAGGGACAGACCTGTATTTCATAATGGCCCAGACAGTGCTAGCCACAGTCCTGAGGAGTCGTCCACTTCACGGGCCAGTTCACTGGCACACTTCCAAAACCAATATACCCCGATGTAATGGTAGAAATATCATAGCCTTTATAGATTGTGAATCCACAGAGTGGAACGGTGGTCTCCGTAGGAGACTGTTGTTGCAGAAGGAAACACAACTTCAATTTTGACATCATCCCTTCTCTTTAGAGCCATATTCAGCCACCACACCTCCCAAAAATACTACAATAACATAAGTATAGGTAAGCAAACACTATTGCCTTCTAACCTCTGATGCATGAATGCCTACACAAAAGCAGAAGAGGAGGGTCTCCCAGCTAAATGGTCTCTTTCCATACAATGATTCCAAAATAAACCTATGAACACAAGGCCAGCGGTTATGGTTAACCCTAGTATCATTGTTTAACCCTAACAGTGATCCCACTGTCTGGCAATACTCACCCTTGCAGCTCGTCATCAGAGGGCGTGTACTTGGCGGTGACGTCAGCCAGGTCTCCAAAGATCTGCGCACTGTAGATGGTGAGGCAGGAGAGCAGGATGAGTTCCTGCCAGGTGGAGCTGAGCAGACAGGTGTAGTCCTCGATGGACAACTCACAGAAGAACGGCAGCTTCTTGATCCACGAGATTTGACGGAACAGCAGCTCGTCGGCCAGACGACACAGCAGTGCAAACAACTCCACCTGAGTCACCTTGTACCTGACAGGGAGACAGAGAGGCATGGATGTGAATATCAACAGAATTCATAACAGCATGCTGTTCATATTATTGTATTGGGCCAGGATTTGTAGCTGACCTGGTCACATGGTCAGAAAATTAATATTGTAAAATGGAACACACATTTCTAAAACACATTTCCAAATAGATGTCTGCTGGAATTGGTAGATCAAAAACATGCCACAGTTTGAGTGCTCAGCAGATATTTCAGGTTAAGCAGGCCTACTCACCCGTCCTCTATCAGCATGGGGGTGGCCAGTGGAGCCAGGTCCTCTGCAGCAACTAGCTGCAGCACCAGGGGGTGTGACTGGGGGTAGAGGCTGCGGGGCTGGGGGGGCAGCAGGCCTGACTGGGCATGGTAGCTGAAGAGGTGAGGTAGCAGCTGGTATGGGGTGTTCATGGGGGTGTTGATGTACTGGTCCCTGAGAGCAGCCGTGTAGCCACCATTCATCTCTACAGAGCGACTGGACAGACAAAACACAATGGTCAAACACACTAACACTTCAGACATTATGGAAAACACAGTAGAACTGTCACTGCCGCAAGATACTTCACTCACAATAGTCGTTCAATTACATACTGTACTTACACTAAATGCCAGAAATTATACTGTTCTGGTATCTGGCAAGTGTGCTCATGTTGTTGAGATTTTATTTGATAAATAACTATTTCTGTGCATTTCTAACATAATCAGAGTACATGGCTGATATAGATAAGTTGATGTTTACACAGAGAGAGACTAAAATAGATACCACCACTATATTTGGCCTTGCTGCTTGTAGATATACACTATGCATGTCTCCATAGCAAGAACAGCAGATACTGGTATGAATTCATTGTACAGATATCACTGCTAAGTCTGAATAGATCGCATTCAGGCATTCTTCTAGTGGCAAACACCTTACTAACTTGGCAATGGGAATGTCAGGGGCAGTTAATTATTTCATAAATGGACAAACTGTTGACAATGGCTACGATGCGCCCTCATGTAGACAAATTGCTAACTCACTTGGATGACAGAGTGGATGCGGGTGATGGCTGGTTGCCCTCGGAGGCGCCATTGCTAGGGGAACTGTGGTCACTACTGTCACCGTTGTTGCTCCAGCTGTGCTCCGGGAGACTGGCTTCCTCCTTAAACTCCTGTCCCGACATGATCCGCTCAATCTCGTCATCTGTGATCTGAGAGAGAGAGAGAGAGAGAGAGAGAGAGAGAGAGAGAGAGAGAGAGAGAGAGAGAGAGAGAGAGAGAGAGAGAGAGAGAGAGAGAGAGAGAGAGAGAGAGAGAGAGAGAGAGAGAGAGAGAGAGACAGAGAGAGAGAGAGAGAGACAGAGAGAGAGAGACAGAGACAGAGACAGAGACAAGAGAGAGAGAGAGAGAGAGACAGAGAGAGAGAGAGAGAGAGAGAGAGACAGAGAGAGAGAGAGAGAGAGAGAGAGAGAGAGAGAGAGAGAGAGAGAGAGAGAGAGAGAGAATATGTAAAGAGTCATGGCATTGGCAAGTCCATTAACTATTATAATTAATTCCCCTGGGTACTTCAAGTCTTTAGCTGTTAATACTACAGCATTGTTTTCAGGCATCTGAATGGATTAACATAGCACTGTTGTCCAGGGTATAATTATCCTAGGACAACTTGTTCCACAGAGGCACAAGGACACACCATGCACATGCGCACACACCCACCCACGCACACAGGGGTCATTCCACCTCAAAAAGTTTCTGTTGTTAGAAACAAATAAGATTAGTATCCCTGCAACATTATATTGTTGACATATAATTTCATCACTCAGAAAATAAGCTAATTGATTGCACCCAAATTGGCCATTTTAATTTATAGGATTCATATAATATTTAATAAATATAGTACCTAACATCTGATTTGGACCAAACTTTTTTCTAACAATGAGTTAGACATGAGGAATCCAAAGAAATTGTCAAAAGCCATTCCTTATGTCTTACTCATTGTTACAAAAAAGTTTGGTCCAAATCGGATGTTAGGTACTATAATTATTGAATATTATATGAATCCTATAAATTAAAATAGCCAATTTGTGTGCAATCAATTAGCTTAATTTCTCAGAGATCTAATTATATTTCTACTAAATAATGCTTCCGGAATGCTTATCTTATCTGTTTCTAAATACAGACACGATTTCAGAACAATCTGAGATGGTGGGTGTCATGACTTGCTGAAATGACATAGAACGACCTACATCTTAGCTATACAAAATTATATTTGAAAAGCATGGCTAATCCTTCATTTAATGTTAATGACATAGATTGAATTGAACACTGTAAATAATGACTGGTGCTGCAAGCAATTGTGGATGCTGATTTGCCCGATTATCTTGCTTAAAGCCAGCTAATGAAATTATAAATTAATGTGAGCATGAAATCACTGTCAGGGATGGGTTCAATTCCATTTCTATTCATTGCAGTTCAGGGCAATGGGTTAGAAATTACCAGCATTTTTACATAACAATTCGTAGTAAGCAAATGACATTTAAATGGATATAAATAAAATGTATAACAATTCTGAAATATCAAATAGCACAGTGAATATTTGCCTGGACAGGTCCAATGCTTTTGTTTCTCCCTCCTGGCATCCCATCTTCCCTGATTGCTGGAAAACACACAGAACAGCCATAAGCATCACAATAAGAGGAACAAACTGTATGTTTTTTTTTTAAATACTATGTTTGGGTTTCAAGACATAAAAACACCAAAGTACAGTACAATTCCTAGGGAGGTTGTCATAGCAACATTGGAACTCTCCCTGGTGGCTGCTCTGATTGTGCCACAGGAGATAATCAGGAAAGAGTACAGTAAAATGTGAAAGTTCACCTACACAGTCAATGCAGCAGAGGGCACTATCTACATAACTACAGAGCTGGGCGGTGTTGCGAGTTGACAAGAGAGTGGGGTATTTACTAGTTAAGGCTGCCACAAAGTCATAAAACCCCTCTATTTCTACAATTTATCTTCTTAAAATTTGATGTTAAACTTTAGCCTTAACCCTAACCCTAACCACACTGATAACCTTATGCCTAACCTTAAATTAATATTTGTTTTATTTTCATGAATTTCTACAATTTTGACTTTGTGGCTGTGCAATATATTCGAAACCCTCAAGGAACTCTTACAATGAAATCTGTGGTTCTAGAACAATCTACTATGGTTCCAGTACAGTACATTCAGGTCAGCATTCTAGGCCTCTGCATGTGTGGCTCTCGTCTGCTCGTCACTCTTGCCTCTTCGGTGTCCTCTTACCTTTGCGGTTCATTCCCATCTGTAGACACTTGAGCAGGCGGCAGTATTGACAGCGGTTGCGCTGCTTGCGCGACATCTCGCAGTTCTTGTCACGGCTGCAGCGGTACACTCGCTTGTTGCAGATGCTGCGCTTGAAGAAGCCCTTGCAGCCCTCGCAGGAGATGATGCCATAGTGCAGGCCTGTGGCGCGGTCTCCACAGATAAGGCAAACACGCGGGTCTGCTGCAACATCTGACAGAAGAGACAGAGTGACTTGTTAGAGCAGAAGACAGAAAACCAACAGACACCTGCCACATATCATATCCACACATCACAACATTCAAAGTACATCAATGACAAATTGGACTTAATAAAGAACAATGTCTAAGGAGAAAATGCAGCATGATCAAAATTGTGCTCGGATCTGAAAAGAAACCCATTGCCATAAGTCCTCACCAAGCATATGTATCCTACAGCTCCAACCATCGTCGTGTAACTTAGGGTAGCCAACAAATGTAACCAGCTGGATGTTAGGAGGGAGAATAGGCACAGAGAGTGCAGACATCTTGAATGTTTTATTCAGTAGGTCTGAGCAGAGAGAGGACCAGGCTAAAGGACACACGCTGGGCTGCCTGGTGATTTGCTTACAGGCTCTCTTTTCCCTTGGACACAGTGGCGGCGTCATTTCAACTCTTCAGTGTGTCTATAGTCTAACACCACTCGGTGAAACCTGACTAGATTCACTCCTCTTTCCACATAAGCCCACATAAGGTCTAAATCTCTCACCGTGAGCGTAACACACTGGAATTTGTGACAAGGGAATTTATGTTTGTTTAAATATATCAGACCAACTAACTGTTAATTATTCTCCAACTGCACAGGCAGCCAGTGGCACCTTAAATGGGGAGGACGGGCTCATAGTATTGCTGAAATTGAATAAATGGAATGGTATCGAACACATCAAACACATGGTTTCCATATGTTTGATACCATTCCATTCACTCCAATCCAGCCATTATTATGAGCCGTCTTCCCCTCAGCAGCCCCTCAGTAGGTTCATATCACAGCTGTCTTCCTTAGAAGATAAACACAGTGCAGACCAGAGCCTTTACATTTTAGCCTTAACCTTGTTTCCTCTAAGGGTATATGGTGCAGCTTTTTTGCTGAGAGTTTCAAAATGTGAAATGTTGTTAAGACCAAGTGAGGGCAGTAACTTGGAACACATGTGCTTGGGTAGAGGCTAGAGGGAAGGGCAGCCTTTGAGGAAGTAGTGGAACAGGATGTCCAAATGAAGCACATTCAAAAATAGTTGGTTAAATTACACAGTGCTCTGAGTTTAAGGTTAGCCAGCAGATTAACAACATGTGGTGGCCACGAGAGACCCAGATGTGAAAACAGAATAAAGTTCAAAACACCTAGCTTACTACAGTCACCCTTATCCCCAAATACCAATACCACTGATGCTAAATAGCTTTTGGCTTTACATTCATCTCTATAGAGTGACATTTCTTGCTTGCATGTGTCTGTGTGTGCATACGTTCCATTGGGTATGTGTGTTGGAGTTTGGATCATAGAGAGATGTATTTAAAGCTAGAATCCTTAATGGAAACAATAACAAAGTGTTCTCTCCCCACCCCTGTTCTGCAAAAAAGCTAAGGGATGGGGCTGGAGAAATGTAACCACTCTCAAATTCATAGACAGAGCTACAGATACAAGAACTGACCATACACGATCCCAAATGTATAGTGTTAACCATCTTTTGAGGCTATACAGTTTACATTTACGTTGATTACAAACATTGGAGTAAAACAATCTTATATTTTGGTTTCTGATCGGGTACTATAGAGTTGAACTAAGCTCATGAGGCATTTATAGTTTATATTCTTCAAGAATCAATGGTACATGTAATTCATTTACAAGTCCAAAAAGAGATTGAGCAACTAAGGATTATAGCTTTACATTGAAGATTTACAATCCTCTGTGAACTCCTGACATTCTTAATTACTTTACTAATCACCACAGAAACTGCACAATCTGCAGACCAGCACACTTTGAGGACACCAAACTTTAAAAAGCTGTTAAAAATCTTAACTGGTATAATCCCCATCTACCTCTAGGCTAGATAATAAAACACTATGCGGGCAGAGAATGAATTAGACTGAAAACCTACATTCCCTACTCTCTGCTGTCCACAGTTTTAGTGCTACCCTATCGATCAACCCCCGTCCACCAACACACAAACACACACACACCTCAACCCCCGCACCATCCCCCCTCATAAAAGCTCTGAACAGATGGGTTGACGCCATGGTTACAGTGAATAGCCCAGCAAAGCAACGGCTGCCAGAAGAAGAGATAACACACAACAATCCAACCCTTACTGGCTTAGCCTCCTAATTATGATATCAGTTAACAAGGCAGCCCATCCCAGTTTCTGTTGGTCAATCAGCAATTACATGGGGTTTGTTGTCCCCACTTTCTCATCATCCATTACTAAGTAGGGAGTGTGCTTCAAACCGAATTCCCCAAATAAAGTAACATCAACTGGTTCATCCTGAAAAACAGGTGACCACTACTGGGAAAATATAAACAGTCAAGTTATCAAAGTGAAGTTTTACAGATCAACATGGGAGACTGCATTAGGAGATTTCGTAAAGATATAGAGAGAAACATCCAGAACCCTTGTCTTCACCTCCATTGTCACCTATTACACCAGGATTAGAACTGGAGTCCATAAAGCACGGACACACCGGTAGCGTTTGCTGGCCGAGAGTACTTAGCACCTCTGAGTGCCAGCCATAATTTGCAAACTGACTGCAAACCGATTCTACATGTAGATTTACATGAACATGTCACTAGTCAGACGCCCACCGGCGGCGGGTGATCCCGAAAACACACCCCACCGAGCAAACGGCGAGCGAACGGCAGCGTCAGATCGACATTTGGTGCAGTGTGTGCGCTCCACCGGCGGCCGGTGGCACCTTAATTGGGGAGGACGGGCTGATAGTAATGGCTGGAATGGAATACATTGAAAGTTATCGAACACATCAAACACAAGGGTTCCATGTGTTTGATACCATTCCATTCACTCCCTTCCAGCCATTATTATGGGCCGTCCTCCCCTCAGCAGCCTCCTGTGATGCGCTTCCATAGTTAGTGAGCGCACTGAGAGCAGACTGAACTACTTTCCCTGGATTCTACCAACAGTGAGTAATGAAGACTGGGTTGTTGGTCCCATAACCCAGTCCTGAAGGAGACTGGTGAGAACTCTGCTATAGTGGGCCTGTTTAATGCTACCTTCTCCTGAACCCATAGATTAACCCTAGCTGCTCTGAGGTAAGTCTCTTACCAACGCTCTTTGGTCAACCCATACTTCACATGGCAATGAACCTTCCCCTCATACAGGCTCTTCCAGTCATGGACTAACCCATCAGATATAAGAGGGAGTCATGGGTGCAGTGATCTAAAGCAACAAGGTCATCAAACCCATGCCAATCCATACTGTTCAAAGGCTTTCTTTGCCTTACACATTTATTATCATCAGTGCTTGACTTGGGATACTGCTTGAGCTCCTGTTCCTCTTATAGAATATTAGCTCAAAAGTATTGTAGAGCTCCTGCACCTAAATATAAACAGAACCGGCCCCCAAAATGAGTCCCGGATCCTATTTCAGTCCAAATCAAGCACTGATTATCATGAACGTATGAGATTGGCCAAAAGCTAATAAAATGGCAGATAGAAACTTTAGGCCTCTATAGTATAAACCAAAACAGGTACTGTCTACAAGGGCACACCCAATGATTAAACAATAAACTACTACTACTGAGTGGTAACCTCATCTTCTATATCACTTAAATATAGCTGCAACCGAGTCAGACATAATCCTGTCAAATAGATGAGAGAGGTCCAATATGTCCATCCCTGCTCTAAGCATACTAGAAGCTGCAGTGTGCTTTCAGAGCCCAGGGTAAGTTTCCTCTTACTAGAAGGAGCAGAGTGGGCTTTCAGAGCCCAGGGTAAGGTTCATGTACTAGAGGCAATTAGCTGGGGAAATGTAAAGAAGTATAAAGCCTCTCCCAGATCTACTGAATGGTGAATGGAAGACCTCTAAAGCCCAATGGGATTACCTATGAGTTTTAAGTTCTGTCTCCTCGGGAGGCTCTTCTGGGGTTGTCATACTGTACACAAAAGGGTCACTCGGCTCCCGCCAATGGATTCAAATGTAATCCTTAGTCATTAACGTGAACATACCACCAACCTGAGAACAGTGAGGAGCTCTTACTCAAAACAAACTTGTTGAAGTTTGTAATAGATTATTTTTTGACACCACTATTATTTTTGGTCCATAAGGAACACTCATGTAATGACTGTCTTTCACACTGCAATACAGTTAACAACGTAATACAGAGAAACGTCCTGCCAGAAGTAACTCCAGAGTGCAGTAACAAACATATCTAAATAAGTATCATCAGTATGCTTTCACACACTACTACATATTGCAGCATGTAAGAACTTGATATCCTGAAAATGTAGATGTCCTATAATACTCTATTATAATGATTCCATATAAAGTGACTTTAGCCTAATTAAAGTGGGCTCTTGGAGCATAATGAGGACAAAGCTTGATGCTGAAGGAAGGGTGGAGGTATCAGTGAAGACTCAGCTTAAGGTCTAAATCAAGAGCCTTTCAGTCATTAAGCCACTGTTCTGTGTGTAATAGAATAACACCTCTACTAAGCCTGCCAGAAAAGAGGACAGGACCCACATACTTTCCCCCTTTATTTTAACTGTGAGAGCTCTCTCCATTCTCTTTCTCAAAATGGCCACCTGCATTGTCTTGCATATAAGCAGTGGCGGCTCCTGAAAAAATTCTCAGGAGGGGCAATTTTTCTGATGATTTAGGTGACCTACACACATTTTAAAAAAGATATGTCCAGCAACAACATGAAGACAGGGGCAGATTATAAGTCAATACCAGAAGCATTTATTGACTGATCTGGGGAGATGGATTCCAGTTTCTGTGACAGATTATAAATAATCTCTGATGCCTTTGTTATATTAGCTTTTGGTTGAATGTACTGTCGTAGTAAATATATAATGTTATAGCTTGGTCTGACTAAAATCTTGTGCATGACCCATTTTGTGTTGGGCGTTTGTTTTCAATCAATGCTGTTCCTATCCTATAACAATGGACAAAAGAGTCCTATCTTGTCAGCCTTGTCAGCAGGTGGCCAAGGACAACACCCACGCCATAGGTCTCTCAGTTCTTCCAACTCACGAGTTCTTGCTCTGAGGACACACACACACACACACATCATCACTGATAACACACACACACACACACACATCATCACTGTTAAACACACACACACACACACACACAAAAATCCCCTCTCTTTAGGCTGAACATTTGAAGACAGAGAAACCGACTCAGAGCCAATGCAACAGTGGAGGGGACCTCGC